GGCTTTGTGTTAACACTGGAGAAAAAACCTGAATTTACCTGCAACTGTCAAAGTCTCCTCAACACAACGCGCACTTCAGTTTCTCCACCTTCAAAATAAAAGCATTGTATGTCAGACTGTTTACAAGAGGAAACTGACATGCAGTGTGGACGGTGAGCGTCCGCTGCTGAACGATGAAACTCCATATCTGGCGCTCTGGTGCTGTTGGGACACGCTGCAATGCGCCATCTTTTTTATGAAGCACATTTTCCTGTTTCTCTTTCTGTTTCCATTCAATGCTTTGTTTATGCTTGAATTCATAACTTCACAGTGGAACCACCCTTTCTCCCCCTCGCCTCCCTCAGTTTTCCGCCCCCCGGCTCTCACAGGAAATCATCTGCCGCAGCGGCGCCGCCGAGAGGCCGAGCGTTCTGCCTGCCGTCACAACAGCTCTGTCACTTCTTATCTCCTGTCAGACGCCACAAACTCATTTGTCTGACAAGTACAGGCCACCTTCTCCCACCCCTCCCCCGAGTCTTGTTGACAGATATAAACTCTCCGTCATGGCGCTCTCTTTCATTTCCTTAAAAGCTTTCAAAACTCTTCGTCATCCTCTCGTGCCGGGTGTCATCTCCTCTCCTCTCAGAGATCAGAGCACCGCTCTCCTCGCTGCGCTCTGATCAGGATGCTAAAATAAGCAACACATTATTCTGCTTTGCATTTATTGTACTGCAGGTAGACACATAACGTCAGAACGGTTACAGAGGAGGATAAAGTATATTTGAGTCCAGATGGGAAGAGAGGCGACAGTTTCATCATGAAGCCCAGTCATGGTGGTCGCCATTTTGGAAATACCATTTCCCCTCAACACTCGGTTAAACGGGACACATTATGAAAAATCCACTGCTACAGTGTGAACATATATCTGGGTAACCTGAGAGTCTACTGACCCACAACATGTGTCATTGCATTTAAAGAGACACACACACCAAAACAGAGCGTTCTGAGAGAGCTGGTTTATACAGGGTCACAAACCTCCTCTGGTGCTTGATTCATGTTATATTTTGACCAAAGCACAGCACAGATGTTTCATTTAGACCATAGGGGGACTGTTTGAAAAGGTGGAGGAGGGGACTGTTTGAAAAGGTGGAGGAGGGACTGTTGAAAAGTGGAGGAGGACTGTTTGAAAAGGTGGAGGAAGGGACTGTTTGAAAAGGTGGAGGAGGGGACTGTTTGAAAGGTGGAGGAGGAGACTGTTTGAAAAGGTGGAGGAAGGACTGTTTGAAAAGGTGGAGGAGGGGACTGTTTGAAAAGGTGGAGGAGGGACTGTTTGAAAAGGTGGAGGAGGAGGACTGTTTGGAAAAGGTGGAGGAGGGGACTGTTTGAAAAGGTGGAGGAGGGGACTGTTTGAAAAGGTGGAGGAGGGACTGTTTGAAAAGGTGGAGGAGGGGACTGTTTGAAAAGGTGGAGGAGGAGGACTGTTTGAAAAGGTGGAGGAGGAGGACTGTTTGAAAAGGTGGAGGAGGGACTGTTTGAAAAGGTGGAGGAGGGGACTGTTTGAAAAGGTGGAGGAGGGACTGTTTGAAAAGGTGGAGGAGGAGGACTGTTTGAAAAGGTGGAGGAGGGGGTAATATGTCCTCTTTAAATGTCAGCCTACATAAAAAAACAACTGACCTCCTGAATCCAGAGTCAAGGTGGCGTTAGAGGACCGAGTTAGCCGGGTAATTTCTGAAGTAGTCGACAACAACAACAACGTCTCTGAGCCAATAGCAGAAGTTTACTACACAAAACTTCATTCTGCAAGTATAAAAAGTTTCTGAATGCCAAAAAGTGAATTTTATGAACCCACTCTGTCACGTGTGTGTAGCAGAATCACAGCAGCAGAGTCCGGTCCCGCTCCATCACCACCAACAGAACCCCGGCCGCTTTGATTTGTACACTTTAAAACCCGACATTGCCTCAGTTTGCGTTCACGTCGGCCGGTCACTCACCCATCACTCGGAGCCTCTCGGCGCCCACCACCACCTCCTGCTCGTCGGCGGAGAACAGCAGCTTCCCGGAGGTGGATTTGACTTCAAACATCTTTCCCCGCGCTTTGATTCCACTCGATCCTGAACGAAACACAGAAAGAGAGAGAGGAGACATCAAAGAGAGGAGCGACAGGAGCCCGGCAGGATTTCCTCCTGAATGACCTCAGAATTTAAAAAACGTTAAACACATCTGAGTGGATGATTCCAGGAGTCCTGCAGGACCTGAGGGAAGAGTGTGAACAGAACCACATCATGCTTTTTATTCAGTTTGTATCCAATCATACGACTCATCAAAACTAAACATCTGGTCACATGGATGCATGATGATTTGTTTGTGTGTTGTTATCTTAGAGCCACCAACACTCGGGCCTGTGCTGACCGCCATGGTTCAAGTCCCGGCACGGGCCAAGTCTGGAAATTGGTCCCAAAACTGCTGTGGCAGCCCCCTCACTCTGAGAACTCTCCATTAATGCATGTCCATAGGATCCTGTTTGTGCATGTGAGTGGATTAATAAAGGATACATTATTATTATTATTAAATATGAGGAATACGAGCCTGATCAAACGGAGACGCGCCGCCATCACCTGGGCGCACATGTGGAGCAGGACTGTGTGTGCATACGGGTCGACCAAATACAGTAAGGATATGGATCAGAGCAAACGTAACGCTTTTCTCTGAGATGAGGAGCGGGATTTCAGCGTGCTGTACCACGGGGGAAACACTGGTTTTGCGGGGGACAATTTCTAGCGTTGCGTCTCTGTTTGATCAGGGTGCACTCACACACTGATGAGGCACGATTGCCCCCCCCCTCCTCATTCCCCCGCTGGCCTGCACTCACACTGCTCCAGGACTAACCGGGCCTCAGCACGGTTACTTCTTGTTCATAACATCGTAAAACAACACATGAATGTCTTTATGTGGTCATGAAGCGTGCTCAGTTTACATGACAGAAGGAGTCTAAATAAAAAGGGACGTGAGGTCGAGTCGGCGTCTGCTCATCTGAGAAAAACACATAGAACATAACGGATACTTTTCTGACTTTGTGTCTTATTTTGAGTCACCGTACCAAACTAAAGCACACCTCTTCCAATTGTGGAAGGGCCAAAGAAGAGTACCTAGCTTGAAGATGGATCGGAGCACTCACTCTTGGTCAAACAAACTCGACTTTGGGGGTTAAAGATGCCGGGCACAGTATGGATTATCCAGTGAGATGCACCCTGTGACTCTGGTATTGGCTTCTCTCGATAATCAGTACAACAAAAATTCGACATGGGGATTGCAGTGGGTGTTAAATGTTAGAGGTGTAATTTTAGTGTTATAATCTCATCCTGCATTCTTTCAACAGTCAGTGTAGAAATGTGAACCAAAATATAATAAGCTGGTTATTCAGAGGAGCTGTTAATCCCCTCGTCTGACACCAACCTGGCAGCAGATAGGCATTAATAATTCATATGGAAACTGTTCATTTTGTTGCTTTTGGTCTTGTTTGCTTTTGATGGTGATAAAAAGGAGCTGGTGTTCATTTCAGTCTGTTTCATTACTCTAAATAATGATCCTTCAATAATTAATACCATGCCTTCGAGGTAGCGTCAACACTCAAACGAGGAATAAAAGTCTGAAAACAAAACTTGGACTTTTGAGTTGCTGACATGTTTAGAAACTTGATCATCCTGAGCTGACCTGGGAGTGAAAGCGATTTCCACCCCGACACGAGTGTAAATAAGTCTTCAGGAAACTTGATAAAACAGCCGCTCAAAGCTGCCAAACGTGTGACAGTCCCCGCCACAAACGAGAAAAACAGAAAATGCAGACAACTCCCAACAACTGGAGTTGCTTTGTCTCGGCGACAGATGAAAACACTGGGCGTCGGGGGACGAGAGACTGATTGACACGCGCGCAATTGATTCTGTCACTCTCCATCTGGGATGTGAAGTTCCTCCCCGAACACGAGCAACGCTTAGTCATCCGAGTGAAACATAGACTTCATCATCACCGCCCTCCTCCTCCTCGGGGCCCAGGAGGCAGATGTCAGCACACTTTCTGATGCAACAGACACTTCCTGTGCATGTTTACACAAAATGACTTCCATTCACAAAACGCTGCCAACTCTATTAGAGTGTGACAGGCGGAGGATGTTGGAAAGAAAGTGTGATCACAGAGTTATTGTGGAGCGAACGAGACGTCGGCTGGCACGGCGACAGGGAACTTTTTATGATGTGCTAATGTTCGATCCTCCAAATCACTTCCAACACTTTGAGCTGTGGATCCAAAACTGAAAGTCTGGACGCTCCAAGAGGTTCAAGATGCAACATAAAAATAATAATCATAATAATAATAATAGTAATAATAATAATAATAATAATAATAATAATAACAACAACAATAACAACAATAACAATTACAATAATAATAATAAATAATAATCATGAATAATATTAATAATAATAATAATAATAACATGATAAGCATCCTCCACCTCTGTGTCCTGTGTCTGTCATAGACTGTATAAAACATGGAGTAAGTCTCTGTGACGTCAGCTGTTGGTTTCGTTATGAAGCCCAGCGATGATGGTCGCCATGTTGGAGATGCCATTTCCTTTTAACACTCGTTTTAATCTAGTACCAGGGAAAGAGGTGAAGCTGAGGAGGGTGTCGAGCCGCTTGGAAAACAGTGGCCTCCAAGCGTCAGCCGTTGTCAACAAACTGTTGTCATGGAGACAGAATGGACGTGCAGCGCTTTTATTCTCACCGCACAAACGCTTCATGCAAACACTCCTGAGTGTACAGTCTGCGCTTTTCTGCCCCAGAAGAAAACGCCATGTGGACACGAGGCCTAAGAGTTAAAAAGTCTAAAAGCATTTCCCCCTCTTCTTTCTTTTTTTCCTGGAAACTTTGACTCCTCAAATCTGTTAACAAGAAACCATGTTCAAAGGTCTAGATTATCCTCTAAAGTCTGTGCATGGCTTAAAACTGAATATGATCAGAGCGGCGGTAAAGCATGTTGAGAGAATCGTATAAAATGTGAGAGATTCTGAAGGTGGATTGAAAAAAGTGGAGCATCAAACTTGTCTGTGTGTTGCAGTCGATGTCGTCAGGGTCGGTGTTTCTGATTGGAATGAAACGAGTGATATCAAACAGAAAACATGAACTACATGAAAACAGTTGGAGTCTTACCTGTGACGAGTTGTGTCAGCAGCTGGTTGTTGCTGTTGAGGATGTTGACCGACACGTTTCTGGACGACTGCAGTAACAGCGGACGACCCTGCAGGAGAGAGGGGAGGACGGGGTTAATTATTCAGTCTGTGGCCGCATGAGAGTTTCAGAAGAACGAATGTGAGAGTTGTAAAGTCGTCTCAGACGTCTTGCTGATTGGACGTCTCCACCGTGAAGGTCTGAGAGCGTTTTGCAAAAAGACGGTTGTCATGAAGGCCACGGCAAATAAATAAAGAGAGAGATATTTAAATAACTCTTAATGAATCAGATCTACTGACAAAAACATGAATGAAACTGTAAACAGAGACGATGTTTGTGTGTCAGCAGAGTGAGTGAGCGGTGTGTGATGAGTGTGTTGTTCATGTTCACTGGTTCTGTTCATACCTCTCTGAAAGAACCGAACATGTCTCCCTTGACTTAAGATCACGGACTCAAAACAGAAGTGATTCTACTTGGCAACCCACACCAGATCAGGTCATCCCCCATAACCACCATCACCTTTTCTGGCCAAGTCATCCACCTCTCTCCAACCGTCACAAATCTCGGCATCAAAATGGACCCTCAACTGAACTTTGAAGCCCATATTAAACATCTGTGCAAAAACTCATTCTACCACCTCAGAAACATCTCCAAACTCCGTCCTACACTCTCAGATGCAGAGAAACTCGTCCACGCCTTTGTCTCCTCCAGGCTGGACTACTGCAACGCACTCCTCATCGGGATCCCTAGCAAGAGCCTCCAGAAGCTCCAACATGTCCAGAAGAGCGCTGCTAGGGTCCTGATGAGGGTGCATAATATGATTACATCACACCCATCCTTCAAACACTACACTGGCTCCCTATTTCATTCAGGATTCAATACAAAGTCACCTTCTCACCTACCAGTGCCCCCTCACCTCAAAGAACTCCTCACCCCACAATCCTCCACACGAAGCCTCCGCTCTGGAAACACCAACCTCCTCCATCCCCCCAGGACTAAACTCCACCCCATGGGAGAAGGCCTTCTGCTCCTCTGCTCCCAGTCTGTGGAACGCTCTCCCCGAGCAGCTGAGGGCTCCACAGTCTGCTGTCACTTTTAAAAGGGCCCTAAAAACCTTTTTAACAAAGCCTTCTGCTTGTGCTTTTCGGTTCGTTAGTTGCTTAGTTGATGAAATTTGTTTTTTATTTATATTTTATATTTTTTCTGTAGTACTTTGAGATTTTTTTGCAAAAATCTAAAGTGCGTTACAAATTAAATGTATTATTATTATTTGATGGATGTGACTTCACAGTCAAAGACAAACTCCAGAACCTTCAGCCTCCTGCTTTTTTTTTTTGATAACTTGCATTTCCCAGAATGCCTTGCACCTCTGCAATGCCGATCACGTCGGACACTCTGCTCTCTCCTCGCCCGACTAATCTTCACGCCTCACTCAACTTCTTAATTAGAGATAACAGCCTGACCATTGTGGCGCCGCGCCGCAGCCGAGGACCGGCCTCGTGTTTGTTTCTGATAACATGAAGGCGCTCACCAAACGGACTGAAGATCACGCAGTGAATACAACAAACGCACGATACGCACGCAACCGAGGAGGTATTACAACGACAGCGTGCCGAGCGTCAAATGAACACAAACATAGACGATACAGAGAGAGAGAGTTTCATCTGATGATCACACTCACTGGAACTGAGGAGACACTATAGACGAGTTCACTGTGTGTGTGTGTGTGTGTGTGTGTGTGTGTGTGTGTGTGTGTGTGACCTAGTTTGAGAACTTTGTATTTTGAATTCTTCCATCTTTGAATCATGTGACTATCGGGAAATTGTTGAATTCTTCTTAATAGTCAAATCTATCATGAAGTCTGCACTGCTGACACCAAACAGCCGGTTGACCCCTCTGCTCCTCCTCATCCTCATCAAGTGACCCCACCTTTCAAAACCATCACCGTGACAACCAGATTTTTACAGAGGACGAGGAGCTAGGTGTGATGTGTAAACTCAGCCGACGTTGGAACTGTCTCAGCTGGTGCAGCTGGTCACTGCCTTCACCTGCCGTCCCGTCTACACTGCACCGACCCCCCCATGGCCGTCCCTGCAGGTGGAGGCTGAAGTTTCCTCCGATTGGTTGTCTGGGCTCAGCCTTAGAGAGAGGAGGAGCTAAACATCTGGAGGGATGTCGGAGTAGAGCCGCTACTCCTTCACATCCAAAGGAGACAGTTGAGGTGGGCAGGACGTCTGATCGGGATCCTCCTGATCGCCTCACTGTGGAGGTCTTCCAGGCACGCCTAACAAGGAGGAGACCCGGGGTAGACCCAGAGTTCTCTGGAAGGATGATATATCCCGTCTAGCCTGGGAACGCCTCGGGATCCACCAGGAGGAGGAGCTGGAAAACGTTGCTGGGCAGAGGGAAGGGGAACTTCCATGGTGACCTGACCTCGGATAAGAGGAAGATAATGGAGGGATGGACTTTCCATTCAGTGATTCAGACAAATTGTTTTCTTCTTCTCTGTTTACCTGACATTTATTTATTCATTTTCACAACTTATCCAAAGTCAGAGCTCGACTAAGAAGTAAAAACTGAACAGACCTTGTTGATGTTTTACTTTAAGGCTCTGAGCTGCTTGATCCCATCGCTCCCTGTCTCTCTCTCTCTCTCTCTCTATCTCCCTCCCTCTCTCTCTGTCTCTCTCTCTCTCTCTCTCTCTCTATCTCCCTCCCTCTCTCTCTCTCTCTGTCTCTCTCTCTCTCTCTCTCTGTCTCTCTCTCTCTCTCTCTCTCTCTCTCTCTCTCTCTCTCTCTCTCCCTCTCTCTCTCTCTCTCTCTCCCCCCTCTCTCTCTCTCTCTCCTCCCTCTCTCTCTCTCTCTCTCTCTGTCTCTCTCTCCCTCTCTCTCTCTCTCTCTCTCTCCTCGCCCTCTCTCTCTCTCTCTCCCTCCCTCTCTCTCTCTCTCTCTCTCTCTGTCTCTCTCTCCCTCTCGCTCTCTCTCTCTCTCCCTCTCTCTCTCTCTCCTCCCCCTCTCTCTCTCTCTCTCTCCCTCCCTCTCTCTCTCTCTCTCTCTCTCTCTCTCTCTCTGTCTCTCTCTCTCTCTCTCTTTCTCTCTCTCCCCCTACCCCCCTCTCCCCCCCTTATGTTCTATTTTACCCGTATTTATCTATTCTCAGACTCTTTACATATCCCCCGCCCCCCGTCCGGGTTTTGAAGCGATCCCTGCTCTCATTACCGGTCAGTCGATACAGACTGAGATTTTATCGAGGGAGCAAAGTGATGACATCATCGTCCAGCCGTCTGCAGCATGCTGAGTGTCAGTCTGTGTTTATGTTTCTGGAAGATGTCGACGATAGACGCTCGCACGTCAATGAAACCTGTCGATACGAAGAGACTCACAGATTTGTATTCCTCCTCGTACCGATTGGTGAAATCCAGACTTCATTTCACACCATGTCAACAAACTGTGAACATGTTGTTCTATGTTGAGTCTGCGTTGAACTTGGCCGCCTCCTGTGCGACGCCGCCTGTCAAAACACGATCGCTGGCTCTGATTCAGTCATCATCCATCTGTCTGCCTCTCTCTTTGTTTCTCTTCCTCTCTCACTCCCTACCTCTGACTCTGCTCCACCTCTCCTCTCTCTCCTCTCTCTCCTCTCCGTCCCTCAGCGTGCATAAGGTCCGAGCCGGCAGAGATAGAGCATGCTGCTGTGTTGCATTATGAAGCCGCCCGTCCCCTTCCTGCACACAGCTTCAGACTAACACTGACAGAGGGAGCATCACTCTCTCCATCTCTCTGACATCTCTGGACTTGTAGTTGCTCGCTTACAAAACAGACACAGAAACGTCTCCTCCTTACTTTAACTCTCTGATCCAGGTCTACACTCCCTCCCCCCACTACGCTCTGCCAATGAAAGGCATCTGATCCAACCTTCACAACAGGGTCCTAAGTCTCTGACTAGACTCTTCTCCTCTGTCGCCCCCCGGTGGTGGAATGAACTTCCAAACTCCATGTGATCTGCAGAGTCCCTCTGCACCTTTAAGAAAAAGCTAAAGACCCAGCTCTTTCATGAATACCTACTAACTTAATGATGATGGTCTCCATATTATTGATGATGATGATGGTAATGACGATGGTTTTTGTTTGATAACGACGACTTATAAGATGGTTTCTATACTGATTAGAGCTCTCAAGAACTGCCCTCAATGTTGTGCTTTGCCTCTGGTCACTTCCTGTCAGCACCTGTGTGTCCAATCAGACTCAAAGCTGATCGTTTGCTCTTACTCACATTGTTCCCTTTTTTCTAGATCCTTGCTTGTGTTGTTCTTACTCTCTGATGTACGATGCTTTGGATAAAAGCGTCTGCTGAGTGAATTGTAGAATTGCATAAACAGAAGACACACTTTGCATTTGAAGCTTGTGCTACAGATAGCATGATGCTAACACTGGCAGCCCGGGTTGATGCACGTGTGTGTGTCTCCAGCAGGACCACCTGGTGTGGAACAGGTGCACTGATGGAGCCACATGGTGCCTGTCATAATGTCATCTCTCTCTCTCTTATTTCGTCTGTTTACTGCATGACATGAAATTACATGACGCGCTAAGTGTGACCTGGAATGACACGGCGTCCCTTCAGGTCACAACATAAAGTGTTTTCATAATGAGATGTTTTGTAACGGGGGGGCTTGTTCTTACACAATGATTGGGAGGGGAATGGTCTCATTTTGTCACATCGTGTCATGACAAGACTCGACGACAGGCTGCATCAAACATCTCGCCTTGTCGGGTTTGATTCTTCCTGATGTGACCTGATACAACACGAGGTGTGAGCGTCTCGCTTGTGGAGCCGGTGGAAGCTGCAGAGCGTCTTCAGACTTTCAAATTTTAATGTGACGGCTCGGTTTGGGAGGGGACATGTGAACTTTGGAGGGGAACAACTTAAACATCTTTCATGTGTTAACTGAACGCTGACATGCAAGATAACCAGAGTGTACTGATGTTTGTATTCAGTCTGAAACGTCTTGTTTTAGATTTCACGGTTCAACAAAACTAAGTTCGAAGACGAGATAACACTGCGGAGCTCGAAGTCAGCTTTCTTTAAACCGTCAATCAAACAGCACACGTATGGGGTCAAGGGTCGCCATCCTCTCATTGCCTTGTTGCCTAGGTTACGCCGAGCTGCCACAAAAAATATTTTGAAAGATTGCGAAGGCGACCTCCTCTGCATCATAAAGATACAGGAGTGAACAAAAACAGATAAAGAATGACTGAGAGGTAGAAATGTGTGTGTGTGTGTGTGTGTGTGTGTGTGTGTGTGTGTGTGTGTGTGTGTGTGTGTGTGTGTCTGTGGGTGACTTACTGGTTTGGACTGGATTTCTTTGGCATAGAGGGGTTGGAGGAACTCGGACTCTCCTTCCAGTTTCAGGCCCTTCTCCGTTATTCTCAGCTTGCCCATGCCGTCCTGCGAGGAACAAAACAAAGTCATGGTTAGTTCAAATCAAACAAGGTCAGAAAATGTGTGCTTAAACAGGCCGTTTTGGAGATTGTCCCTTCATGACATCACAAAGGGCAGTAGCCCCACCCCTCCCCCAGGTGGGTGACACTCCCACAGCTAGGTGTTTGTTCTGCCCTCTGAGTCTGCCTTCTCACCGTAAACAATAGGACATGGAGCGAGAAAGCACCGAGTACACCCAAGCCCTTCCAGAGAGGGGGCGTGGTCAGACACAGCTCATTTACATATTTAAAGGTACAGACACAGAAACAGCCTGTTCTGAGCAGGGCTGAAATAGAGGAGTTTATAGACATGATCAAATACAGGATCAGAGTGGATTTAGAACAAGAAACTTCACACACATGTTTTGAGGAGTTCTGAGACTTATTTACACTGAAAAAGAAGAGGAGGATATGTGACCTTTAAGACATGATGTGTGCAGCCTTTGACTCCTCACAGACTTCTCTTGTGTGTTTCAGATCATGAACAGGAAGTGCTGGCTGTATTCAACACCTGCCTTTTATATTCCTGACACCTGCAGTTTGATCGCAGACAGCTGCTTTTCATCGGTGTGGCTGGATGACTGTGTGTGTGTGTGTGTGTGTGTGTGTGTGTGTGGGGGGGGAATAATTACAGTGAACATCATGTATGGTTTGTTATTTGTTGCACGCTCAGAGATTACAGGTACAGACTCTGATCACATTTACATCACTACACTGCCTCCCTGGTTGATCATCTTAATCCCTGTTTAAGCACCGAAGGTGTTTCATACTCAACGCCAACGTTAGTGTTACAAACATCAGGCAATCATGGCGTCCACCCTGCAAACATTAATCTGTAAGACGACCTGTGGCGTCTGCATCCTTAAAACCAGAACACAAAGTTCAAACATCACTGAGGTCTCAAGAGCGGTGTGAGACCATCGACTTCTTTTATAGTTGGATTCTTGTATCCTCATTTAAATCACACCTTTAATGTTTGCACTGCCTGTTATTTAATGTCTGCTTTTTAAAACATTGCTGTACATATATAAACAACACAACTTCAGAAGGTCAACACTTTTTTTTATATTCAGGTCTAATTACAGATTTTTTTCTGTTTTTAGGTTCTTGTTTAAATGTCACATATATTTTTATCCCTGCACGGGTTATGTACATTTCCTATATTTTCCTCGGGATCAATAAAGTATCTATCTATCTATCTATCTATCTATTGAATAAATAAACTTCATTCTGGACGGATGTGTTGACCCGTGTATTTTTGTAAAACCTCTTCTTCATGTGACGGTTTGTGAGGACTGTAGAGTTTGATCATGTTTTCAAATGTGCATGTTCATGTTCATGATTTGTTTTAATGTGGACTCCAGGAAGAAGAGCTGAAGTCCATCGTCTCACTCCAGAAGAGTGACACACCAAAGATATGAAGCAGACTGATAAGAGCGGATTGGCTTGGGGGCGGGGATGGGGGGGGGGTGGGGGGGGGTGCGCGCTTGGATTGAAGCATGACGAGCGAGGCTGACCCTTCACTTTCCTCCCAGCTGTAATATAGATTAAAGAAAATCAGCGGCTGGATCACTTTAGAGATAAGAGACGTCAGAGTGTCAGCAGCATGAGAAAGGAAAACGGAGAGAGAGAGGCCGCTATCTCCTCGTCTGATCTCCTCATATAAATACTTTTTGTCTTTTTGTCTTCCCGCTGCGTTTGATCCCCGCAGGTTTCTGACGAGCAAATAGAGATCAAGACCCCTCCAAATCCCAAAGTAAGCGAGGACTGTTTCCAAGCCTCCTTCGTGTAATCTCCCCCCCCCCCCCCACTGGGTGGAAAGTATTACAATTCTGGCACAGTCGAGGCATTGATGGGGGGGGGTCGAATCCAGGACGTGTTCTGATTGTGAATTATCCTCAGGTGAGAAATCAGTAGGCGTGTCGGAGACGGCCAGCAGACTCTTTTTTTTAAAACTCGATTTCCGACTCTTTGATGACGTAAATCAGCTGTAAGAGAGGAGATGTATGTTTCCCTCTTCTCGGAGGTTCTGAACTAAATATATTTGAATTTGCAGACCTGACCGACGGTTTGATATGTATCACAGAAAGAGGGCAGGCTCACGTGGCGTCCTGGCTGGATGGTTCATATCTTACTCCAGGTAATCACTGAGGACGCACAAGAGCTGAAAGGCAACGTTATCTCTGCCTCTTAACTTCTCACATCCTGAAGACCCGGGCTCTGATCCGAGTCCGCTTGACCCAAAGTCCGGTTCATTTGGTACGGGGTCCACTCGGGATGTGAACGCAATCGTGCTCAAACCAGGAAGTGGACCGCTACATGATGTCATGCTAAACGGCTCCTGTCACAAGACCTTTGTTAATCATCACCTTTGGTTGGTAACCGTCGTACTAAAGGACTGTGATCAGGCCTGGACTTCCTCTTCTGTTGACCTAAAACACAGCTTAAGTCACAGTCACAAAGAGAGGTGAAGGTTGAGGGTTTCAGCACCATGGAGAGCGACACAGACGACAAACATTAAAAACACAGAAAAAATCTGAAGATTTGTTCGTTGTTCCAGCTGAAATTTGTCGACTGCTTTTTTTTTTTGTCTCAACACTTGATCTCTTTGACACAGAGAGCAAAACTGATTACGTCTGCAACCTCCTGAGTGAGAAATTCATGCATAAAAAAAGAAGTGAAAAAATCCTGAAGTGGCACATTGCACACTTTGCGTTCTCGTGGTGTAAATAAATGACACCTGTTGTCATGAAGAACTACACTGATGATTTCTAAAAGGTAATTTACTGCTCGCTGTGAATCATTGAGCGTGGGATTGTTGACAGAGCCTCAGGTTGATGCTTTAATAGGACAGAAAGGAGACTTTAGGAGGTTTGACTGTTTCAGCACCACGGAGAGAGATGCTGAAAAACCGACAGAGAAGAAGAAGAAGACAGGCTTTCCTTATGCATCTTTATGGAAATTTTTGTTCATTTTGGCAAATGGTTTTTTTTAATAGATCAATTGAACACAGTGAAACATGTTTACGACCCTCTTAAGTCACTAAGGACAAAAATGTCCACTTTTTGAACTGCTATAAAAATAGAAGAGATTGATATTTGTTTCATCTCTTAAACAACTTCAGCCCTGCTCAACACTACCAAATGTTGATAATTATCAGGAATTTAACCCTTTAAATGCCAGAATCATGTAATCAAACCGACTCAGCTGAGCAGGAATCAGCTGACGTCTGTAAGATCACTTTATCATTTCACTCACTACACATCTCTCTCATCACTCAAATCACAATCTTCTAATTTTTCTGAAAAATCAGCAGTCAAACTCGACTGCACTGTTTGCATCTCCTTCTCTGTTCTCGATGTTTTTTGTCACTGTTTCGATTCTCTGCAGAGCGCTGCAGCCGACACAGCCAGGCGAGCGAGCGAGGCGAACAGCCATGAATAATTCAGGAGCGGTCTAACAGGACAGACGCCTGAGCACACTCAGGTGGGCCTCCACACCTCGACTCTACCTTCACCTCTTCCTCCTCTTCCTCTTCTTTCACCTGCTGCCTTCATTCCTCTAAAACCCTCAACCGCCATCGCCCCGTGCTGATCGTCCTATTTGTCCGTTTTTAAATTCTAATCTCTCTCTCTCTCTCATCTCTGACCGTCTCCTCTCATTTTTACCTACCTACTCTCTCTCTCTCTCTCCCTCTCTCTCGTCCCTTCACCTCGTTCTACACCTCTACATTTCATCTGTCATGTCAGATCAGCTGGATTGTTCTAGTTTTAGCTGTTAAGTTTAAGAACTAAAGATTTATGTCAGTGTTTGTGGAGTTACTTCAGAAGAAAGCTTTGGAACCTCTCACTGACTTTACACCTGAACTTTGGATGTAGTTAAGTGTTACAGCTTTAACTGAACGGCTCAGACTGAAGAGATTAAAAATCATCACACACATAAAGAGTAAAATAATCTCATCCTGCTCACACTACAACATATAGAAAAAAGACAAATCACAGACTAAAGGATTTTATGAAGATGCACCACTTTGTCCAGCACTTTGATCGCTTCTGATTCCTCGTCTGCTTCTCTGAAACTGTGAGACATTTAAACATGATTCATCTCACATTTACCCAAGATCTCTCTCCCCAACTTCCCTTCCCTCTCTCTCTCTCTCTGTCTCTCTCTCTTCCCTCTCTCTCTCTCTCCCTCTCCCTCTCTCTCTCTCTCTCACCAGCATTTGCTGCAACAAGGACTAAACTGATCTACTCTCAAAGCTGCATCGCCTCCACTGTCATCTCTCTGTTTGCTCGATAGTTATTGAGAATTTATTGTTTGTGTGTGTGTGTGTGTGTGTGTGTGTGTGTGTGTGTGTGTGTGTGTGTGTGTGTGTGTGTGTGTGTGTGTGTGTTTCTCTCTGCTCTGTTTACCTGCCTCTTTCTGGGTGTGTGAGCACAGGACAAAACATCTGTCTTGTAAATAATATCTGTGCCTCTGTTATTCCTTTAGATTTATTTGTCCCAGCTGGGCGTGCTGCAGCAGACGGGGGGGGGGGGGTCTTCAGGATGTAACAGAGGGTCTTTGTCTTCATATCTGTCTGTATACATCACTGTTTCTTTATCTACACCATCTCGTCTGAAGTCGTCATCCTCGGCGACCTGGGAGTCGCTGCTGTCAATAACGTGGAGCTGTCGGCCTATTATTGAGCGTCTGCATCAATATGCATCAAGACACCGCCCGAGGCTACGGCAGAGATAGACGTCTCTGAGCGAGTCAGACTTCTACATGCTGCACACATAATCACAGCTGTGCATGTTGAAAGGACAGATCTGCACACGCCTACGCAGAACAACTTTTGCTGAACTCAAGGAGGTTTGGACGCTTCTCTGCAAGACGAAGGAAAGTCACTCACTGCTCGATGTGAACGAGATTTTATTCTGTAAAAAACGTTTTTCCTCTTTCAGCTTTTAGTTGGTTTCCTGACAT